CACAGAACCACCTATCTACGCACGGCCCTCCCCCGGTGACCTTCAAAAATAATAATAATAATAATGCGCGGCCATACTGTCACACTCCCCTTCGACCATAAACCTTGCTTACCAAGGTAACGCTGCGTCCACGTCCTGCCAGGGCGATCGTTATCATTTCTATATTTCTTCTTGTCCGGCGACGCCACTAACGCATGCATGCATTTGGATTGGGTTGGGTTGGGTCAGCCGCGCGCTAGCTTCTCTCGCGCATATTCCGTTTAGAGTTGCTTTCATTGAGTGATCCGGATGAGAAGGCGAAAAGTAGAGAGATTCCTAATAGCATAATTAGGAATTTAGGATGTAGTAATACATTATTAAACGCTCATCTTTTAAAATATGAGAATGCTAAATTTCTGCCGACCGGCAGTTTGCAACACATCCACATGAATCGCGCGCCGTTGGATCTGAATCCTACGATTGATCGCACCTTCCGATCTGTTATTTGGACTCGAGCCCACGATCCCTTGAAAGTTTCAGCACGCTCGGACCAACCCGCTAACTAATGTTGTTTGTCTTGATTTTATGCATGTTTCTAGTTGAGTTAACTAGTTCGACAAAATGAAATCGTAATTTCCTGGGTTGGGCGAGATTTGCTTCAAATTTAGTGGTTCTTGCCATCTATCCCGAGCATGATAATATACGCAGCGCTTAGCTGGTAACTTAATTAGCTGAAACATGGTAACTTTTTGAGCCTGCTATTTTTTTGTTGAAAAACACCTCCGGTAACTCATGTGTAAATAACTTGGTATATACGTATAGCAGACCTGATAACTCACTGAGCCTAGACGCGATGACTTTCTTGATCCGGGAAAAAAAGTTGTTGAAAAGCATACATCTGGTAATTTATCGAACACCGTGGTAATTGTAATCCCAGATTTTTTTTGCTCTAAACATACTCTCTATAACTCATGTACATACGAACGCCATGTTAACTTTGGAAAGTATTGAGAAAGAGTTGATGAAATATAACCCCCACCCCCCGGTGTGTTTTCTGTGAATAGCGGTAAATCACACATAACAGACCTGATAACTTATGTACCTGGTTCCTGCTACCGGTTCCTGCTAGGGGGGGGGGGTGACGAATTATCCTTCGGTAACTTTCATGTCAACAACATGGTAACTCACGTTTCATAGACCTGATAACTTATGTGTCCCGGTCCTAGAAACTTTGTCG